AGACTTCATGCGAAAAATGGAAAAATAGTCATCAGTGACGGGCCTTAGTTTAAGCCCGATAGAGATTAATCTATCTCAATCGGGCATTACCGTAGGGCCCGCCACAGATGAGTCATCTGTGATGGGCCTGAATGTCATCTCAATCGGGCATTAGTACGGAGCCCGTCACAGATGACTCATCTGTGACGGGCCCTACGGTAATGCCCGATTGAGATGACTCATCACTCTACTATAACTAGGGTTTCTCAGATCGGATCAAAAATTTTTCTAAGTCCCGCTACAGTTTCCCGCCTCCTCATAACCCTAGCGCCATCGTCGTCCTCCCTCACCGAGCCCGCCGCCGCCACCTCCTCACCAACGCACGTCACCGACCCCCACCGAGCCCGGCGACCTCCTTCCTCGTCGTCGCCGCCTCCTCCTCTCTGCCGCCCGACGCCCGCCCGCCCGACCAGCGTCTCCACCAACCGGCGACGCCCTCCACCGACCCGGGCGACGCCCCACCGAGCCCGCCGCCGCCGCCAACTCCTCCTTCGCCGCCGTCGTCCTCCCTCGCGGAGCCCGCCGCCTCCACCAAGCCCGACGCCACCTCCACCGAGCCACACCAACCATTCTCACCGTGCTAAGGTTAGTCCTCCATCGTGCCGCCCATGTGGATGAATAGATGACTAGATGAATAGATGAATAGATGAAATGCATGTGGTCGGATGAATAGATGAAATGTGGTGAATGTATGATTTTAGGACTTGATGATATGTGGAATTATTAGGATTATTGTGACTTAGTGAAATTTAGAAGGAGATGTGATGTGATATTAGGTTTCTTTATGTGAGATGTGCAATTTAATTTATTTATATGTGATATTAAATTCAGTTTATTAGATCTATGAGATGTGCAATTTAGTTTATTTATGTGACTAAGTGATTTTAGATCTTTGAATTCTAAGCCATTGAAGCATTGAATTATGTATTTTCGTTATTTTGAAAAAAAAAGTAGACGATGTCTCAGCAAGGCGAACCAATGTCGACGATAACTAGTGGGTCCTCAAGGGCACGTACTCCTAGGACAGGGAACAAAATCCCTAAGGAATGGTTCCGCATAACAGCCGTGAACCAAGTAGGGTTGCCAACAGGTCTAAGCAAAATATTGAGCCGATTTAGGTCTATCTGCGGGGTCATAGGGAGGCAGAAATTCAGTATTCTGCAGGATGACATCAAGCAAGTGCCGGCCGCAGAGAAGGACATTGCTTGATTATCGTTCAAGGACAGCTTCGATTATCCTACAGAGCATGAGGACCTTATCAGGCAGGCTGCTTTTAAGGTTATGGGCAATGCTTGGAAGAACTTCAAGACTAAGCTAGTCGGCGAGTTCGTCTACAACCCAACGAATCCAGATCCAAAAGAGAAATTTCCTTGGATCACGGAACAGGTCTGGGAGGAATTCCACGCGAAGAAGTCAACCCCCGAGTCCAGAGCTAGAAGCGAGGCATATCGCTTGCTCCAGACCTTGAACCAACATCCCAACCGGCTTGGCACCGCCGGATATGCCGGTAAGGAAGAGGAATGGCAGCAGGAGGATGAAGAAGCGGAGGAATCAAACACGTCATGGGTGTTTGGCAATATCCCACACCCTCGGGCTAGGAACTGGTACCAGAAGAATGTTGATAGCACAATCTTCATGCCAAATCCAAAAGATCAATGAGTGTACGAAGCTATAGTAAGTGTCTAGTCAAAATAGATGTTCGCATTGTTTCCCATCATGTAGTTTATTTAACCCCACTAAATTGTAATGCAGAAGGAGTTGGTTGCCGAGCAACAAGCCTCGCAAGAGGCCTGCTCTCAAAGACGCGAGGACGACCTCCTCACGAAAGTGTTGGGCAACAAGGAACACCGTGGACGGACACAGGGCGTTGAGTCCTCCATTCCCTGGAAGTATGGATTTCCAGACTACATATGGCAGTACAAGAAGCGGACTTCCAACAAGGCGGAGAAAGATGCATGCCTTGAAGCCAAGATCCAGGCGTCGATCAGACAGAATTCGACGAAAAGCTCGAGTCAATGAGGGCCAAGATTAGGCAAGAGATCCGAGAAGAGCAACAAAATCCGCGGCCGCCGCTGCTGCTGCGCACGAAGAGTTCGGAAGTCCCACCCAAAAACACAGCAGTTGCGCATCAACTGAGTTGGCGAAAAATCCAACATCGGTCGACAGCGCCGTCGACCACATAACGGTAAAAAATTCTTCCAAAATGCATGAAAGGCTTAACGAATCCATATGTTATATAATATTCTAAAAAAATTGATGAATCTATCGCAGGAACCAACGAGCTGCACCCTCACAGTTAGGGTGATGTCGACCTTCACGGTTCCAGCAGCCGAGGGACTTGCGTACAAGCCGTCTCTAGAGACAAGAGTGCATGGAGCGCAACTTAGGGACGACTGTGCAAAAGTTCAAGTCGACTCGGTGGAGCCCGAATACGAGCTGTTCCCACTAAAGTATCCACCGAACAATGAGGTCCTCTCACTAGGAAATGCCCGTGGTACCTTCATCCAATGGCCCAAGGACCTCATTGAGATAAGGGTTATAGCGAGGCTAACCACTGCAACAGGCGGTCGTCCGCCAAAGAGACCCGCATCTGCTCCTTCAGCCCCTCCTGCTCAAGATCGTCATGCACAATATTACGATGTGCAGCTGCAGTACGACACAGATTTTGAGGAGGACCGAACGGAGGCCGACAGCAAGGCGATTCATGAACCCCCACCGATGAAGAAGAGCAGGAAGGCACTCTTCCCCTCAGAGAATTACTCTCGATAAACCCGGAGCAAAGAGGAGAGGAAGAGGAGGAAAAGTGCAGGCCTCGCTTCTAGCTTCAAGGAAGCTAGATCTGTGCAAGGGACATGAAGAGACTAAGGGCAAAGAGGTCAAGAAGAAATACGTCGCTCCACAGGAGATGACGTGCTTGCCGCAATAGGCACCTCTTGCAAGGACCTTCACGTATACTACATGGAGAAATCTAATGCCAGGAGGCCGAATAAAGCTACCGATATCCTTGAAGAGCACGATGAAAAGCCATTCCTTGGTCCAACAAATTATATCGTGGTCGACTTCAAGGATCTATTCGACCTCTACAGGCTCCGAGCGGTGGACACAAGCCTCCTTAAGTGCTACTCCTTGTAAGTATTGTCGCCCAACTCAATCTGGTAATAACAATCGGTTTAACTTGCTTACAAGATCGTTTATCTGGTGTGTAGGTTAAGTTGGCAATGGTGTCAGAAGAATGCACCGGAAGTTGCCTTCCTTGATCCACAAGTGGTCACTGTCACAAATCTCCAGAATGACCGTCAAGGAATGGTCAACTACATATACGACACCTTGTGGTCCCGCCGAGACAAAGAGTACATTATGTGCGCCTATAATCAATAGTAAGTGTGTTATCTAAATATATATAACAGCATGACACATTCTTTCAGTACTAATTAACTTTCACTATATTAATGCCGCATTGCCCATTGGATCCTTCTGGTCATAACACCTAAGTAGAGTACGTCACTACCTGAACTCCAGAATTGATAAGAACACATATGATTGGACCCCAATTCAACTAGTGATAGATAAAGCGTGGGCCCAATACGTGCAAAGAGGAGGCCTCAGGAAGATAGGACATGACACCCTCATAAAAAAAAAAGACTTCCCGGTGAAGCAACAAATAGGTGACAAATGCGGATTCCATGTGTGCCACAACATGCGCCTTCTGTACAGAGAAAAGGTGAAGACTTTGGCTGAGTTTGAGGTTGGTGGTCTCAATTGTGATAGACTAACTACATTTTAGTACTTATATATGATCGATCAACTAATCTCGAATTATGACAATGTAGGGCACAATTACCAAGTCTCTGCCTACCAACTTTGAGGAGGTTCGCGGGGAGATAGCAAGCTTCATCCTCCACGAAATAATTAACCCCAAAGAAATGTTTAGACTTAAACTAAAATGATGAACATTGTTGAATTTTATGTTTAGGCAATTATGAACATTTATTATGTAACTGTGATGTATAATTGCTAAATAAATATTTGATACAATTAACTCGGTTTTGCAGGTGAAATATGATAAATATTTGAATGGATGTGAAATATGTGAATGGATGTGAAATATAATATGGCTGTGAATGTATAGTTGTTCTGTGAATGTGTGGTTGTGTGAAATATATTAATGGCTGTGTATGTGAATGCATATATATGTATGGGTGATGCTGGGAGCTGGGAATATTGAATATCTGTGTTTGTTTCTGTCATTTTTGCAGCGGACATAGCTAGCAAAGGCCCGAGGCTAGAAAAAAAAACAAAATTTATTTTTTTATTATACTCATCTGTGACGGGCCATAACTAAATGCCCGATTGAGATAATGGTCATGGGCTCTAGTTAATACCCGATTGAGATGAATCATCTGTGACGTGCTCTAGTTTAGACCCGATTGAGGTCAGTAGTCATCTGTGACAGGCTATAGTTTAGACCCGATTAAGATGAGTATCATCTGTAACGTGCTCTAATTGAGACCCGACTGAGGTTAGTAGTTATTTGTAACGGGCTATTTGTGGCCCGATTGAGATAGGTCATATGTGACAGGCTATAGTTTGACTAAGATGAGTATCATCTGTAACGTGCTCTAATTAAGACCCGACTGAGGTTAGTAGTTATTTGTAACGGGCTATTTGTGGCCCGATTGAGATATTATGACAGGCTATAGTTTGACTGGTAGACTGTATCAAAACTATCGATGACGGGTTTCAATTAGAGCCCGAGCCCGATTGAGATAGGTTCACGATTTTGACCGATTAGATTAGATTGAGATTAAACGCTAGATTGAGATTAAACACCGTATCCGATTGAGATGGAATTTACCGCCCGTGAGATAAGATAAGGGTATCCGTTCTAGTGGCATTTGCTACTCCGATTACAATACATATAGATGCTATATAATATAGATGCCGTGATAATAGCAAACAAATCAAAACAAACATTAACGACTTCAACATGATCCGATTTCGGTGACAAGGAGTAATTAATTGAGGACGGCACTTCCATGCGAGCAAAATACAGGCCATGACGTGCACACCTAGCTACTACGATCAAAGTACGTACTAGGTACGGTCACATACACACATGTACAAGCTACACAAACCCAACACACAACGCTAAACAACTAGTAGTGTAATTAAAGGCGAGAGCACAGAGCTTACACTGCACTGCTGCACACAGAGGCAGAGCCTCACAGTCACACTGTCACACACACAAAATGACCATCAAGTATGTATTATCGTTTATTCTTGCGTGACCCCGTGTCGGGGAGATCATCGATCAGACCCTCGCTGTCCCCTTGGGCTCGCCGGCGGCAGCACCGGCGCCAACGCCGTAGTCGTGGTCCCGGTAGGCGCCGTCGCCGCCACCGAAGAGGCCCGTGTGGAGCATGAGCACGTAGAGCAGCTGCGTGAAGGCGAGGATGATGACGAAAGCCTCGAGCACGCGGAGGCGCCACCCGCGGTGGCCGCCGATGTGGATCTCCTTGCAGGCGAGGCCGAAGGCGAGCGCGGTGATGGCCCACGCGATGAGGGAGGAGGCCGCGTTGGTGGCGAGGCTGTCGTGGCGCCACGCGCGCACGTGGTGGACGCCCGCCAGCTTGGACGCCGCGCCCACCACCCCGGCCAGGATGGCGAACACCAGGAAGTAGAACGTCGCGCCGTTGCCCGCCACGCCTGCACGCACGTACGTGTGTTCGAGCGCATTGTATATCAGTACGTCGCATGCACTTTTATTTCAAGAATCAGAGATATGCAGATCGATGTCGTACCTGGGTAGTTGGTCTGGCCATTGATGAAGTGGTTGAGGTTCCAGCTCGCGAAGCCGATGACGATGAGGTACATGATGAGGTTGAGCACCAAGAGCGGCGCCAGCATGTTCCTCCCGACTCCGGCCATGGCTGCTACCCTGATAGCTCACCGCTGGACGACGACGACGACGCAGAAGACGAAGAAGAGATCGATCGAGAACTGAGATCGAGTGAGGCCGGTCCACTCCACTAGCTCTATGCTTAGCTCTCTCACGCACGTACGCAGAGGCAGAAAGAATCAAAGTACGAGCAAATCAAGGTGGGCAACACTAGCTAGAAGGACGACGGATTTAAAAGTGCAGGGTTTGGTGGGTGGCCGGGCTTATCCGTTTTATCGGCGGATATGAGGAAGCAACGGGAGGAAGACCGCGGGAGCGACGCGTGCCCGTGGGCGCCCGCCAGCGCTGCGAATGTGCGAGCCACGTGCCGCGTCGAGGGGCCCCGGGCCGGTGCTCGGCTCCTCAGCTCGGCGGGTGGGTCAGACGGTCAGTGAGTGCATGTGTGTCCTGTGTCTGTGTGCGCGCATGGTGTTTCCGAGGAGGGGGCGCTCCGCGCTCGGATGGCATGCATATGCATGCGTGGTGCGTGCGAGGACGTGGCGGCACCGGCGCACCGCTTTACCAGCTGGTAGCGGTAGCGCCGCGGGATACGGGGTGCACATCTGGAATGGAAGAGGATTCTAGTGGCTTCGCGGGGCTGGCTTAGCTTGTGCTCGATCGTGTCGTGTTCGCGCGGAAGCATATGCGTACGTCTTCAGCTCAATCGATAAGTATTTTGCCGTTTTCTAATGTATGGCCGGGTTCGCCTCTCAAAACCGTACGTGACGGCTGATTGGAGTAACTGCAGGCTGCTCTACCAAACTAAATTACTGTACTAAACTAGCCCTATCAATCTGTTAAAGAACACGACGATCTTCTTTTATCTCGGAACAGTGATATCGGCGTGGCGTGGTTAGCTTATAGTCCATATGGGCACAGGACTACCCTAAATTTTAATCTAGATACCTTAATCCCTATTATCAAGATAAATTTCTTAGGCCACAAAGTCTGCTAAAGAATGGCGTATATACCTTTGAGATTTATATTCTTAAACCGGTTTGCTCTTATTCAGTCTTTAAAATTTATGGATCATTTGTAAAACGAACTAACATACTGATATATCATGCTTCTTAAACTCGTTAGTTAGCTTGATAACTCTAGAGCGTTATGTATTTATTATTGCACTTTTGTCAAGTTTTATCAACTCGTTACTTTTGTGTTTGTTTATACGATTGGAGCTAGCTGTCTTTTTTTTTAATCACGGTGTCTTATGTTACGATGATTTATTTAAATTAAGTGGTCTGTAACAAATTTTGTAAATGCATATTATATTGTATGCTGATATTAAAATTTTAGTATAACTTGTTGTAAATTTTAGGCACGATCAGGGACAACTTTTTGTAAATTTCATAGTATAACTTGTTTTTGCATCATTATATTTGCTATCTACCGGGTACATGGCCACACTTAATTTTTTCATCCTCCATCACGTACGGAAATAGGACTATCCAACGAAAAATTCCTAGCTACGCCAGTGTCATATCGCTACAAGAGTTTCCAATAACGGATCTTTTCCGCGGGTTCTATTAATTCTATATATGTGTGCTATATATGTGTGCTAGCTAGTTAGTTGCATGTTCGCGAAATTTTGATGGGCAGTATATAATAACTAACTATAATAGTCATGATTAGATTAAGTTTTTACATTTATATTAGGTTTATTTTTATAATGAAAATCTAATCTACGTGGTAAAATTGTATCTAGTTTTTAAAAAGAGTCATCTTCGAGGTGGTATTCTTCAGCTCATTATTCTTACGGTTCCTGTTTTCTCCCATCTTTTCTCTACATGAGCTATTTAGAGTTTCTGAATGCTTCTTTTAGGAACTTTCTTTGTTTGATCTTTTCTCCGCATAAATTGCCTAGAGGTTCCGGAGGTATATTCCTTGTTTGATTAGGACTGATCCAAGCAGCTGTTATCGTTGCCACTATAAAAATATAAAAAACGATTTTTCTGTACGAGCTCCTTATTAGATTCCAGACGATCCATAATTGACTGTGTCTAGAAAAATCGTCCTTCTATTTTTACATGCGGATCCTTAAAAAACGGTTTACTTACTTACGTGGCCCAACTAGATTGTATTAGATTGTATGGAAGTTTACTTCTTTCACAACTAGATTAGCAGTACTTTGTCTTACTTTTAAGAGCTGATAATTGTTAGGCCGATTTGTCTAGGGGTAACAAAGGGGTACGAACACAACGGCTACCGCGCGTTTCCATTCTGTAACGACCGTTTTATTCCTATTCCATATCATCCAGAAATGGGGAATAAATGATAAAGGTTTTCTCCAACGTTTTAGCAATGTACCGTTTCATCTAGAATTCCTAAGAAATTACTAATGAAGATGAAAATAAAGATTAAGTATTTCATGCAAAACGAGATGGTAATATCGTGCGATTAATTGAGTTTTAATTATTAAAAACTTAAAAAAATAGATTAATCTGATATTTTAGAGTAATTTTCATATATAAAATTTTCGCACGAAACACACCGTTTAGCAGTGTTTGAAAAGCGTGTCACGAGTATCCAAAATTTCATCCAACCCCTGTTAGAGAAACGAACACAGTGTCAACGACAATGCATCGGCATAAAAGAACTTAACCACAACTGTTATGCGTTGTAAGTGTTGATTCTATGATACCGTACGTTATGAAGTACTCAAATTAGTTAATCACTAATCCGTAATTTGTTTTACACTAGTAGTCGTTGCACATTATGATATTAATTTATAGTTTTAACTTGTTTGACCTACCTACTGAAACAGGATTTGCTCTAAATGAAAACTTTTATTGTCAACTTTTCACTTTGAATCATCATTTAGCTAATATTTTCATTATGGACCTAATAATCTTACATTTATTATCCTAATTCTGAACGATTTTGAGTTCACCAACTCTGATTTGTCGGTGATGAGCTCTTACTGTTTTATATAGACAATTTATTTGATATATATAACAAATTTGATGTAGATGGATAAAATAGTTGAGAATCGTCCAAAGTGACACAAAGATATATTACCAGTGCAAAGTGAAAACAATCGGTTAAAAGATGATCCAAAATGAAAAACCGGTAACAAAAGTTGTCCCAAACTAAAATTTACTCTAAATATTTAATATGTGCTAAAATGTAAGTCGGAATGGGAAAAAATCGTGGCTAAGCCTTAAAACATCATATATTTAGAACACAGAATTTTCATCTTGCCGATATCCTGTGAAGATGAATAGGTTGAAGAAACGATGAATCACATAGCAAATATGCCACCTTGTGGTGGGAGAAATCACATAAAGCACAAGCGCTTCACAGCATGGCAATTATTATTGTTCTCTTAAAAAGAATAACGTTAGCTTCTCACAAAAACCACGAGATATAATTGTTGGATGCAAGCAGCCAACAAAAAAAAAACTAAGTGGTAAGTTTCATACCCAAAATTTTAGCCCCAAAAATCTAAGAAAATATTCCTTTCAGTCTAACAAAATTGAACAAAAAATCGGTTTGTCAAGTATTGTTGCTAACACTTCGATACCCTCTATCTGTTCTGACTCTCCCAAAACTCTCTGCAAATCTTCTGAATTCTACACAGAATTGCCAACACCTGTGTCCAATTTGCATAAAGAAAGTAGTCAGCTTAATAGCATGCATGACTGAATCATTAAAAAGTAGTAGTATGGAGCTGAACGAATGAAACCAGGAAAATATGCTATAATTTGCTACTCGGGTACATCTGAACACAGATCACCGACGCGTGTGTAGTTCAACAAATAATGGTAAATAGAATTATAAAGCTGGAACTCTTACAGAAAATATGAAGATTTTAGCTATATGGATTGGCATTACCCATTCCATTGATTTAATAATAGTTGCCTTTCAAGTAGAACAATTAATTATTGATATATATGCTTAATCTTCATATATATGATATATATGCTCGTTAGAAATAGAATACTACTATACCACACCCACCCAGTTCGTCATTTACCTTGTAGAACCCCTTAGTACGACACAGGAGTAAAACTTTTACTCGCCATGCATTTGGGTATACCCTATTTGTGTACTGGGTATACTCATAAGTACATTTTTCCTCGGGGCATATGATATATTATAGCATGCACTGCACGTGATTTAGTGCTACCTTGTTAGAAGAACTAGTGCTCCATAAATGTTACATTTTGGTTTTGCATTCTAGACTTTCAGTTACTTGTAACATCTCTACACCTGTGTTCAGGAGAGGGAGGGCTTGTGTACTGAGGTAAACTCTGGTTGAACTTCAAACTCAGTATTACGATAGCGATGAAATGAAGTGGATATATCATTATTAATTGCAGCGACATAATTTCTTGGAGCTATATACTGCAGATGTTTGTCTGATCACGAGGATATAAGTTCACAAATAACTCAATAGCAGCCACTATTTATGCCGCGTGCATTAATTTGTGAGGCATATTCAGTATTTGCAGTTAATTTCGATACACAACCTAATGAAAACTTACATAATTATAAGGGCCAATTTGCATGTGCAATATGAGGTTAGATAAATTAGACGTGCAGCAGAAGCTACGAAGTATTAAAGAACAGTCTTTATATATGCTGACCATAGATATAGCTGATAGTAGAAGCTAGAACCAGAAGTGATCCAGCATTCAACATGGCAACACACAAAAGATTGCTTAGAGGTAAGCCATACCTTATTGAACTGAAAACATATGCATTTGACCTTTCAGAATGTCGGATGGAGGAATGTCGTATGTGCTAAACACCAAAACCTATAAAATCAATGAATTAAAGTGTTTATATACTGTGAAGGCAAAAAGTAAAATTATATGGTATTAGAAAAGATAGTTACCTGAAACACTGAAGACACAAGGCTCTGCTTTCGAAAAGCTCAGACAATTGAAATTCTATCATGTTTCAGTTGGAGATCCATAGAAATTTTCTTTTGGGTAATAATGGAAAAGTCAATATTATGCTTTGGCTAAACTTGCAATACTTATTAGTTGCCAGAGGAAACAACTTCAGCAAAGGAGACAGTCGATGGCCTGAAGATGTCATTTTCTCTGACTACTCTGTTGTACACAAGCTTGAAAGAGCGTGATCCATATGTCTTATTAAGCAAACTTATTGGGATTCTGAGAGTTTGTTTCCGCCGGCTTTTCCCTTTGACATATATCCTAAAACTACCTTCATCTTCATTCTTCACGGTGCTTCGCAAATGGTCTGTTGCACATATACCATGTGCGTTGTCTCCTGGCATATCAGGATTCAGTTCAATTCTAACTGGATCTTTTAATTGTTTGTCCTGATCATCTGCAGGACGTTTGTTGCTGATCAAATTGCCACTTCCAACCATTGTAGCCTCCATTTCCTCCTTCACTGCCATAGTATTGCTGTCCAGTGAAGGTCCTATACTAACAACAGCTGCGTCCGACTGAATGTGGGTGTCTGCTAAAGACTGGGATATAGGGTTAACAACATGTGGAGTTGGCGTAAAATCAACTGGATGGTTGCTTGGCCATGCTGATCCTGGCACAAACTCTGATGAAGGTGCATTCATATAGGGTTGCCATCCATAATGATTAGGGCGAAAAATATTAGTGTTCATGGGAAATGTGGAGCTTGGAATGACCTGCGGCTGACTATATGGTGGATAAATAAATGGCACTGGATGCAAGAGATTAGGTGACCGAGGAGCTGGAGGGTATAAATGGTGAGGGGAGGTGCACAATGGAGGACCACTTGGTACCATAGTTGAATGTCCAGGGTGCATAGGTACATTCACAGGCCAAGGTGCGACTCCTGGGATAGCACCTGGTGGCGGGAGACCCACACTTACCGCAAGAGGACTAAGGATAGCTGGCGGAGAGGGATTAAATGGCGGTGCAGCAGCAGACAACTTCTTATTAGGCATCTCTCTCAAATCAATACTATTTAGCAGCAAATTGGGCTTTGATTTCTCATTTCCAGCACCTGCAAGGCCCTCAGTATTAGCTGTAGAAGCAGAAACTGCAATAGGTCCAATGCTGGTGGGCAGAGCTTCTTCGAAAATCTCCATATCCGATTTCCGACTCTGTTCATCTTTTGCAGAATTAGAAGACTCTGCAAACTCGACGGCTGCATTTTCATTGCTACAACTTACTGGTTCTTGACTTGTGTGATCATTTGCAAGATTGCTGCCATTTAAGGATTTCTCATCATTTGGTGAACCATCTGTGTCAATATCCCCAGTGTCCAGTTCTCTATCAGACACTTTAATGTCTTCTGAATGCTGAATTTCTTCTGGAATGTTGCCTACTTCTTTGGGATTATTGATATTTGCAGATACAGATCCTTGTTCCACTTGATGTGTATCTACCAAGGAATCCTTCATTTCTTGTGCAATAATTTGACCAAGTGACGGTTGATTCTGGACTACATCATCTCTTGATTTTTGTATTTGAGCTTTTGCAATGGTACCTGGACGTGCTAATGCAACATCTTTGTATGATGGCGCGTTTCCACTACTTGTCACCAAAGTTCCATGTGGCTCACTTTCTTTATGATCTACAGAAGTAGTACTGTGTACTTGTGAGTAAGCCATCTGGGACTCTGCTTTACCACTCATCTGTTCAGCAGAAGCATCTTGCGCCTCTGTGGATGTACTCCCTGGCTTAATCCGATATGTCACAGCCTTGTATATCTTACGACCAAACCTTGCACTGGATGTCTGGACTTTCATGTGCTGATGAGGGTCTGTGTACGTTGCAGGTACAACAGTCCGCTTCTTTAAGAAGTAGTAACGGCTATTTGGATAGGAATTTCGTGCCTTGTATTGAGATGTATATTGTGGATCATGATTATCAGGGTCATACATCTTTCTGGTGGTGGGATTGAAATGCTTCATTTGTTTCCCTGAACCTGCAGCCGATTTAGGTCTTTGAACAGGCTGCCAACCATCTTCAGGTTCTACTAGTTCCTCCTGAACAACCTCCCTTGGTACATTAATCACCTCAGCTCTCTCTACTGGTTGCTCAGATGATGCTGAGTACTCTACGGATTTAAGGTTTTGCTTAATTTCAGCTTCAGCAACAAAGTTAACAGTATCATCTTGTGATGGCTCTATGATTTGCTTGTCCTCGTCTGCATTTGCAGAAGTAGAGTCTCTTGGAGATACCTCAGGACTTGCTACATTGGAACCTCCATTCGAATTTGACAGGACCTAAAAGATGAGCATATGATTAATATATTCCAAAGTGCCATGTGCTAAATTGATAAAATACTAAAGAATACATTTTTTGTGCCCAGGAGAACCAGCATCCCATTTGCAAATATGTCCTGAATATATTAGTTTATTGGATGGAGTTTCTTATTTCAAGATGCATACTACAAGCATACAACTACTGGGATTAATAACAAACATTGTTACGCTATTGTAGACATCTTGCAAGTGTGAATGAACAATATTCCAGTCAAACATTCTACTTAACAAGATCGTATATTTTTACTACCTTCGTATTTAAATATGACACTATTGACTTTATTCGATCTTTGATTACAACTTTGATCACTATTTTTGTGTTAGAATATAACGATAATAACAAAATTATAATATTGTAGAAGTGCTTATAAAGAAAAAGCTACCCATATGATTTTTGTTTTTTCAAACTAAATATTTTGGGAGCTATTGATGGTCAAAGTTTCACAACTTTGACCAAATAAAGTCAACAGCGTCGGATATTAAGTACGTTAGGAGTATCTTCAACAGAAAGCAATGAAGCAACAACATTTGGCAACCAACCTTTATGCTTGAGTACCTCCTTTTACTTGATTCAGAATCTCTTCCTTTGCTTTCTTCATTGGGATTTATATAATCAAGAAGATCAGATACACTGCAAACGCAAAGTAGAACAGTCAGTACAAAGTGAAGATGTTATAAAAAGTATACTGTACCTAGATATCTATAAATGCAAAAGAGAAGTCTCTAAGAAGTTACGATACTTTAGGTTGGTGAAATTTAACTATATTTTACCTTAGATGCCCTTTACTAGCAATTGATGCATCAGGTTTCCGAGTTCCATTGCGTGCAGCTTCCTGTTGCTCGATAACTTTTGATTCAAAGTATTCAAGCCAAGCGGCAGCGTCCTGCATTTCAATTTTCAAAACAGACACAAGATCAAGGATGATATTGGAATTAACAAACAGTTTATTTTGTACAAACATATTTAAAAAAAGAACTGTTGAAAGCCAACAAAAATAGGTAAATCTCTTAGTAGTTACTTAAAAGATATCATTTTTGACAACAATAAATTCTCTGTTGTGCATATTTGGCTTAATATTTGCAATGCATCTGTTAGTATCATACAAGTTTATTCCGCAAAAATAATTTTGATTGCAAATATACAAATATTATATTTCATGTCTAATTATTTTTTAACACCAAAGATTAAAATTTTGACTAAGAAATTCTAAGTCACAGGAGAGTAGTTTTTTGCACATCAAATTCATTTTCTCATAGAAGTAAAACCTGAGTCCGCAAGTCATCTGGCCCAAGCTTTGCACGAAGAATTTGCAAGGTTGTTTGCTCATGCTGAACACTCAAGGAATAAGCTTCCATCAATGAGAGAGCAATGGCTATGGCATGGTAGCTCGCAGCAGTCTAAAATAACAGACAAGTATGTTAGTTGAAACAGATAATCAAGCAATATCATTAAATGATGAAAGCATTAAGTGAAGTAGTCAACAGTGAAACCTGTACTATTAATTATAAAATGGAAGAACAATTTACTCAAGGGACCTACATATAGTTCCAGATTTTGGAACAGCTAATGCAAATTCTTCAATCCATCAAATAAAGGACCAACTACCAGGCAAGGCATGCATATTATTATGGATTGACATTGACTCATTAGGCTATAAAATGTTTTTTTCTGAATATTTCCTAGTTAACAATTGAAGTATCCTATAAATATAAGATTTTTTTTGTGACTAAAGATCATACTTCACAATTATCACCAAGCATACTTTAACCTTTGATAGAAAGAAAACAACCAAGTTCATTACCATGGAAGATTATTACCTGGATATGGTCAGGCCCAAGTAATCTCTGGTTGCATTTTAAGGCTTTGTGCAAGTATCTAAGTGCTACATGCACATTACCCAAGCCTTCCTCCATCATAGCTACGTTGATATATGTCGCAGCTGTGTTTGGATGAGATGGCCCGCATGTAAGATGCAGTAGATATAGTGCACGCTTGACATACCTAATTTAAAAATAGAAAAGGTTAATCCCTTACAGATGTGTCTCAGTTAATTACATTCTACAGGAAGTAGACAGTTAACAAAGAACAGGAACAATTCATTGTTTATTCATATTCTTAGATCCTTATAAACAAATTTAAGCTTGGAAGATCTTATCAGAGAACCTTTCAAGAGTGAAGATAAATTGATAAAAAGGGGGAAATAGTATTAACATCCTTAGACTTCAAATAGATACAATGCAAGTTTATGGTTATGGTTCATGTCACAAAAAGACCTACGGAAAGTGAACAGGCAACAACTAATTGCATGTCAAACTGACACTGTCCTTTTCATTTTTAGTTTTTCCTAGATTATAACCAACATATATTTGTGGAGTTTTGGGCTGGCTTGATTTTTGACAACTGACTCACAATATCACTGAAGGAATTCATAGTTCAGATATTATATCCATACTTATAAGACATGACAAATTTGCAAGTGGAACAGTTAGAAATAAATACAAATCAATGTACCTTACAGCAATAAAAAGCATAATGTATTATTATCCTTTCACAAACATCATAATACTGTATCTCTTAATCATATAATACACTTTACTGGATGAAAACAGAATGACATGACATCATCGAGAATAGATAAATTATATCGGTCAGGAAATAAGAAAAACAAATACAGTATTACTTCAACTAAGACCTCAAAGGGGAACTATAGTCATGTTCATTCTTATGGATAGATAGATGATCTTCAGGGAAAAAAAAACATAAAGTCAACTTACTTTAGAGCCAGTTCTGTATGTTGTAAACGGTAGTAGAACACAGCAAGATCTCCATAACTCTTCATTGTATCAGGGTGATCTAGCCCAAGTTCCCTCTCATTGATGTCTAGGGCCTTTTGCTGATAGATCGTAGCCTGCATTTTTTCTATGATAAGCATATTGACTTGGGGTATTTTTCAAAACTTCAATTCATCACATTCTCAATTCTTCTTTAATTAATCAATACTCATGTTGCGGGCAACTCTGTTTGTCTGTTCTAACATATTCCTTTGATGTTACTGCAATTGTAACCAGTACTATATTGCGGAAAGCTTTTTTTTTTCACGCGCAAGTCATGTACTGAAACCATGTCGAGGGTACCTAGAGCTTTGTGGAAAGTCGAGTATAGCTACGAAACACAGTGCATGGGTATTTTTCGCTGTTGAGAGGAATGTTTAATATTCTTCATAAAGCTAGCCTGAAATACGGCTATATGCTGAACTTTCCTAATATATTTAGCAGTTATATGAATTATTCTACATCCAAATGAATAACGATATACCTGATTAAAATCACCAGTGTGATACAATACAACAGCTAGCAGACTATAAGCTCCAGCTGTCATTCGATGATAGGGACCACAAACTGTTATGAGTTTAGCAAGAGCCTGCATTCATCCATTGGAATAGTGATTAAAAAACAAATGGCATCCAAAAATGTTCAAAAAGATAGACTGTTTTGTGAAAGAGGATACCTTGGTCCCATAATTGACAGCATCTTCAAGTTTTCCCTTGTCAAGGGCAGTTTTAGAGGATTCCAGCAGTTGCCTTCCATCAGCAGATGAGCATGCAACTTGCTGCATATTATGCACAAACATGTTAGTTGTGTAGTTATATTTGTAAATTACTCCATTCTGTGTCTTAACAAAAGTTCAATCAATATCAGAAAACTAGTGAAATCCTTCTTGTAGCAATCTGACAAACAATTGAACAAGCAACGCAAAACAAATGTATTCTGATTTTGTAACTACCCAGATTAATTTGGGAAAGAACAACAGATGTATCAGGTAAAGTTTACCTTGTGTACTGGTACCAAGCTAATAATGTCTTGTTTTTGAAATGGGAAAGCAGAATCCATAACAAAATCTCGGGGTGCCAGTTCAATGCCAACCTGAAGGTAAGAAATTAACAATTAACATCAATTCAAATAGAGCAAATTGTAAATGATTCATCAAATATACATTTGTACCTTATGGCATAGTCCTCTCAGGAGAGCATATTTCCTAACATCATGGTAATGTTGCTCAGTGAGCTCAAATTCATATCTCTTTTTCAAGAAGGCCACTAGCCATTTCCATACTAGTGGGCGCACACCATCGGAACTTGTAAAGACCTCAGGCTCAGGAACACCAAGCAGTAAATTCAGCGCTGCAGCTATTGCAAGTGCTAATTGTCGCATGTCTGAAGTAGCAGCAATTGCAGAGCGAACGATATGCTTGAATGCCCTCACTATCATCTCATGTACACAGAGGGACTGTACATGTGAAAGCTTCTCCGAAAGCTTGACCTAAACAGATACTTAGCAGTTCAGCATAGACCAAGTAACTGGAAATCAATGGCATTGGTATTCATTCTATTCAAATAGAAGAATAATCGGAAACTTACAACTTGTCCAAGGGAACGCATCTGTAGGCCTCTGGTATGCATGAAATCTGTCAAGGTCCTACCATCAACAGGTGAAAGTTCCAGGGAACCAAAATCTGCAACCTGAACATCTTATGGGTTAATTACTATGCTTCTTAACTAAAATAAATGCACATGGGGAATTATTCATTTTTCACATACCAGCTTAGGAAGAGCAACTTCATCATAGTACTTCAAAGCCATCTCAATCAACTCAGGCGGTGACTGTGGAGCAGAAAGGATTAGTGTTTAAGCTTAATACAAGATTATAAAGCTTATTGAATATTTGTTCATGAACAAAACAATATAGTTAACACAAACAAGCAAATAAACCGGAATAAACATAGCACACAATTAAAAAATTGAGAACTGATTTATCTTTCTTCACCCAAAAACAAAGAATGGAGCTGTTTACCCAAAAACAACTCAAGAGCTAAGCCACCTAATAAATGCTGGTCACGAAAGCATGTCGTTATGGACATACATCAAGCGAACTTCTAAAATTTTGAGCATCAATATCTTTTGATATATTTAGATTGGATATGTGAAAATCATATCAGTAGATTCATCTCAAAAGGTACTTTCGCAAATAAACATTGAAAGTATACGCATATATGACAAATTAACTTCTCATACTGAGCCTGGAAAAAGTGAGAAAATCTTCTATATTTCAAATGACCTATAATTAGTGCACCTAAGGTAGATTTGGCAAATTTTATGACAAGAAACGTTTCTTAACCTTTCCATAGCTGACCTTGATAAAAATAGCAAATACAATGTAGTATGTGATCTAATATTACCTGATATTACTTACTCTTTTTTTGAATAAACATAAGTTGTGTACTTACCATGTATGGTTCTCAGAGAGTACATAAAAAATGGAAGGTCAATTGTATGTTTAGTAAGTTTTTTGTGTTTGGCAGAGGAATCTTTTTTTACAGCTTTTTGGACAGAGGAATCAGTCAGGTATGAGATAGTGCAATACCAACTGATAGAGACCTACTTCATGAAGAAATGCATATCTACCTTCTGGTGGAGTCCTGTTTCTGAATCTTTCAACCTTGTAAAGGCAGAATCAGATAATAAATCCTTCAGCAAGCTTTCATTCTCTGAGGCATTAGATTCTCCCTGAGGCAATTGAACAGCTGATGGCTTGAATTTTTGGCTTTCTGCAGAACTTGTTCCATCACACATGCTTTTTTCTCCCAATGAGGATCCCTTGTCAGCGACATCAACATTATTTTTTGAGTGCTTAAGAGCTTTCAGAGGTTTCCCAAGACCTTCAATCTTTGTCTCCTTCGCAGATTTATCTACCACCTTTTTCTTTTCCTTCTCACCACCTTGCTTTTTGTCCTTATCAGAATTTTTCTGATCCTGTAAATGCTGAACCCAGCAGGCACCAAGTTCCCACCTCATAAAGGACTGTTTTTCACTTTCCTCTTCTTCGAGCTTCTGAAGACTCTCCTTTAACAGGTTCTCCACAAAAGAATGTGCTGCAATTAGTTCTTCCTGCTTATTATTTTGTGGAAGGTTCAACGTCTTTTTCTCTCCAGTTGAATTGGCATCATTGAGCAGCATCCTCAAACTAAAATAACGAATAGGACCTCATCACCCAAAAAGAAATACTGGAAGCAGCTGTATAAATTTCAAGAATATTAGAAGAACAACAGAAAGGAAGTGCTATTGACCTGTTAATGTTCAATGCATGTGCACCCCCTTCTGGTTGATCTGTAATATCAATTGGCTTAATAGAAGTGTTCACTTTGGCTTTCTCAATATTGTTAACCTTTGCCACTGCAACATACCCACAGTATCTAAGATTGACAATGCCCAAACTCTCCACATCCTGCAAATAAAAAGCAAAATTAGGATCAACAACTTCCTTACCGTAATATATATGGACATCACCTTAATTTAGAATTCATACATGGGCAGCTGTATTTTCATCAGCAGTTATTCCTTTCAAAAGGTTTCTCTCCGCAAGATGCTTGAAGTCCATTCCTGTGGCTCGGCTACCATCTATCTTGGTATCCAACTTGCAGCTTGCATCTGAAGAATCTCTTGTGACAGTGATGCTAAAATTTCCCACTGTCTCAGAATGCAAAACTTCATCTATATTGGCTGATGCTGATACATCCTTAATCTCCATTACATGCCTTACAGCTGCAATAGCTCTAAAGATGGCAACATCTACAAATAAGCTGTGAAGTAGGAATGCTCTCCTGTCACGGATTTCCCTTTCCTCAGCAGTTTTGCAAGGCATGGATGTGAGATACAAGAATTCATCTGCCCATGGCAACATGTCACTCTTGCCATCCCTTCCCCAACCACCTCCATTGCCACCCCAGGTTTCATCCTCAGAAGGGAGGGGAGGAAATGTTGATGGAGATTGAGCAGCAATTGGGGGAACGAGCCATGTGTTTGCACGAAACCCATAAGGGAAATTTCCAAACTGCAGTATACAAAGAATTACATGTGGTAAAAAGATTTGAGGGCACAAAGAAATTAAATGACACATAGCTTGAATGCTTGATTATTTGCAAAGATAAACAATTTAAGAAGATTATGCTCCCTCCATTCATATATGTTGTTTTAGCACAAATCACAGAGACCAAGGTGGAAAAGTTGTGGCCTGAACTACCTCGGTCAATTGGGTGTTTTGGAATGGTGGACAGCATGATGAGGTGATAGAAACAAGGGCATCCATATTAATTACTAGCATTCAATAAGGTTACTTTGGGAAAACAGTGCCAAGAAAACCTAGAATGACATGCATGTCAGAACAAAACCCATATCCTAGAATGAGATCGTGTGAAACTCCGTTACTCTGAAATCTGAATAGATTACAGGAAAAATGAGGTTATATTAGCAGGTTATGTACTTTTCATCACCTAAAATAAGATCTAACTAAAAACTGTAGTTGTGTGAAACTAATCAGTTACTCGGAAAAGATTACAGGAGAAATGGCATTACATAATCTGGTTATGTACTTTGCATCATAGCTGCCTGAACATATCTATATGGAAATTGGGTACTCCAGCCACTCTAATCCAATCAATCACAAATTATGTGGATACATACAAAAAGAAATAAGCCATTTACCCCCCTAAACTTTTCATGAAACTGAAAGTCTATCAAACCCCCCAAACTTTACAATACGTTTATATGGCCCCCTAAACTGATTTTACAAAGTGGTTCCATGCAAAAATAAAGGTCACCATAAACATACTACAGTAAAATTATTTTCAGCACTGCCAGTAAAATACCCAAGAAAAGTCATAGCTAACCTTGTTACGTTCCAAAAATGCCTTCATAAGATCTTCATATGCCTAAAACAAGTCGCAGCCAACAAAAAATTAATAAATTGGTACATCCACAGTTTGCATCACATAAATTTTAAGAAAAAAAATGGAACACTTGATCAGTAGTATGTAACATAAAAATGAAAAAACTTAATACAAACAAAATAGGTTAGTGGTATTCTGAATGTTGCTTGTGATTACAGATATTGTATAATTTTAACCCACAGAAGCTAATTCTGATTTCAGTCTAAATTTTAATACCAAAGTCATTAAAAATTTGGGCTTTATCTTTCTGCAGCAGCACGAAACATGAAATCTGCAAGATTTCTGTGTTACTACTATATAATAGTCTTTGACAATTGAAAATTTGTGCAATTGAGAACTTTACATACACATTTTCATGAATATGTATAATTGGCATTAGTCCAATATTTTCCAGTACTGTAAAAAGATGTACTTTGAAGAATTTGCACAAGCATGCATACACAAAGTGAAATGACAAAGAAATTCAGTTGAGATCAGAATTTAAGCACATCAGTAATTAGTTCAACTGTTCCAAGTAGCCACATATATAACTGAGATACTAAGCAACAAGGTCAAATAGTAATTGCCTGAAATTATGACATGAAACTGCTAGCATTACTCTCAACACAGATGGTATCATGATAGTTAACCAGTAAATCTGAAAATTTTAGAGAGAGACGAACATTGTCAAATGCTCTACTAAGATGCCTCAACAGATCGACTAGATTATGGCACAAGACGCGCTGCTTCCCCAAACTGAAGAATCCCTTTCTCCGGGCTTCAACAACAACAAATTTCCCGTTGCAAAGCTTTGCCTGTAAGCCAGCCAACATATGCCTAATTAGGATGCCACCATATATTCATATATCAAAGCTCAAAAGTCGTTTTAGCCCAAATCACCCACTGGTTGGCAAATTATTGACCAAATTTACCTCAAGAAAGAAGAGATGATCATCCGAAGGCTGTTCCTCCTGCCGAGGCTGCGCCACTCGCCTTATAACTGGAATTAAACACGAGGGTTTAGAAAATCAACACAGAGGAGCAGTACAGAGAGAGAGGTTTGCCACTAACAGTGGAGGGGCGGAGTGAGGTTGGCGAGGGAGAAGAACTCATAGAAGGCGCCGAGGCGGGGGCACGCGCCGCTCATCTCGGCCTCCAGCTCCGCGGAGGCCGAGGACTCCTTGGCAGCCGCAGCCGCCGCAGCGGCGGCGGCGTCGTCCTTGGTGGCCGCGTCCTTCGCCACCGGAGCAGGCGACGGCGGTGGGGAGCCCGTGCGGCGCCCGCCCGTGGCCGCGGCGGAGCCAGCCTTGGAGCCCGAGGGCTCCTTGGCGGGGTCGGCGGCCGCATCCTTCGGCGACGGCGGCGGCGGCGGCGGGGGCGGCGGACCGAAGGAGGCGGTGCAGGCGACGATGTCAAGCAGCCGCCGTACGTGCGCCACCGCGCTCTCCTCGTCGTACTCCTCTGCATTATTTTTTCAGTTAAAAAAAAACAAAAATGGGGAAATTCCAAATGTAGAGTGGTTTAACAAAATTGAAAAAAATAAAAACCATTTTTAGGTAAAAGAAATACAACATAATAATTGTTTGACAATACTATAAAACCTTATGCGCCATTAAAATTTCTTAGAGAAATTGAAAAAAGAGAGAGCCGGTGATTATGAGGTAATTGAGGGTGGTATTGCTTCTACCTTCTACCAAGGTGAGTGTAAATGGCTTCAATGTTGCAATATCGGCACCATCCTTCAAGCGACCATCACGGAGCTGAAAAAAATAATCAAAAATTAGGGGAATATTGTTCACATAGCATTACAAACTCATCATTTGTAGCTTATATATATTTGGGATCTATCAAGTTTCATTTTCTTTTCGGCATTACACTCAAACTTTCGAAAATTTCATATTTTGGTCCTTTTGCAAAACATATTTCAAAATAGTTTTTGGTAAGGACCTATTTTGAAGTTTTAAAAAGGCCGAAGTGTGAAATTTTCGGCTCAAACTTCAACATAAGTTTTATGGTGAAAATACTAAGGTTTTGACATGTGGATATTTAGATTAAAATACAAGTTCTAAAGTTTTTTTTTTCGCCGGGACGGCGTAGAATGCCGACCGATGTATATTATGGAAAAGGGAAAAACTGTACAAATGCAGTGTGTCAGAGCACCGCCTTTACAACAAAAAGCAAATTACAAAGTCTGTAATCTCTCTAAAGCTGGCGCTGCAACAACATTCAACGAGGTAACTAGCCCTGCTGATTTCCATGTTTCCCATTCATCACACATGGTCGCACACAGTTGCGTGACCGACGAGGCCGTTCCCTCGAAAACCCGTGTGTTGCGCTCTTTTCAAATCAACCATGTAACGAGGATGACCCCGACGTCGAACGTCTTGCGATCGATCTTCACAACAGTTTATCGGGCAGCGAGCCACCAACCGGCAAAGTCCGAGGATGGCGGCGAGCAGTTCTAAAGTTGGCAGGAGGATACGGGTGCTCATATTGTCTTGGGATTTAATCTCGAAAGATAATACACGAGTATGTTTGCTAAAACAACGCCTCCGCACTATATGAGGCATTCACATAGTGGTGTGTAAGGGAACGTGTTCATTTATACATGTATGGATCTTACTTTCCTTAACCAAGATACCAAAGGAGTTTCATACATGCATGTGGATTACATGACAGCTTAGTTCCCTTGCTGTTTATCTTTTTTCACATTAGGAGGAGGAAGCAGATACTGGAATAGACTTTTACTGTTCTAATATGTTATCAACAAACTAATCAAACCAAACTATAAGGGCTCAGTTAATTAACTTGAAAAACAGTAAATACCTCATGCGAGAGGGAGTAGTTTGTGATGGCGCACGTCGCGGTGTTTACGCATAGCAGCCGCCTCACATCAATGATCCTGTCAGTTGAAATCCCCTGCACCAGACCAGAAAACAGCTCAACTAAGCCGATTTACCAGAACAACCTGATTTGATGTACATTTGAATATTACAAACTCAAGTTTTCATTCCAAATTAGACTGAGTTTATGAATTTGTGTATGCTCTCTACTACGAAATTCAGGCACAAAATCCATTTTTTTTCTGTAGAAGTGTCAAGTGTGTGTGTTCTCTGTGGTTTAACTTAGCAACAAAAGTGAGTTTCAGTAGAATCAGAAAAAAAAAACATGTCACCAAGAGTGCAACTGCCAACCTTGAGAATGACATGAGACTGGTCAGGGAGGTTAACAGTGATGTCAATGGCCACAGGGAGAACTGCAAACCACCAAAGAAAATTGTAACTGATGGGCTCAAAACAACTACATGTAATAACTGCGTGCTTCAAGCAAACACAGATGAAGATGGTAACAAATTAGCAATCACCTTTCTCATCTTTCTTCTTCTTCTCACCCTTGGCCTTCCCTCGCTTGCTCTTGGGCGCCATGCACGCGCCAAATGGCGAGCAAGCTCAGCACAAACGACCCACCTGCATCGATCATGCACATACCAAAACCAAAAATTAAAGATTCAGTTAGTGTCTGCACCAATTCATCAGAAATTGCACGGTGTGCACTCCTACTCTCTTGATGGTGGACTACGCATCTACATTTGATTAGTCTATAGAATTAAAGATGAAGTAGTTCTTTAAAAAAAAAAAAACAAAAACAAAAAAAACACTTCATGCACAGTCGCACATCCTTTCCGTCTTTCAGAGTTTCAGAAAGGAATTAAAAACACAACCATTCCTTCAGTATTCAGAAAGGATTAAAAACACCGGCCTTTCTATCTTCAGTATTCAGAAGAGATTAAAACCACAGCCTTTCTATCTTCCAATTTGCATGTTCAACGACCACCATGACCGACCAACACCGCAAATTAAAAGGCAAAACCACTCACTCCTCTATCTTTCACCGATGATACGACGATGTAGTTAAACTAACTAAAGGAAGTAGTACTAATAACTTGTATGTATAAATCAATGACCAGAGCACCATACAAAGCTAGTAGGTATCAGGAAACTTGTGGCACACACTGATAATTAACTGAGAAGAACGAAGAGACTACTGATAGTGGGTGGAGAAATGGTCTGCTCTGCAAGACTATTTCAAGAACAGTGCAGTGAGGACAAATTAGGGAGCTGTCCTTCACGTGCCATATGCACATCACTTGCACGCGGAAGATGAAAATTATCATCGTATTTTCTCATGTATTTGCTCGCCGCACGGCACAATATTGACCAGAAAAAAAAGACATGTTGCGCCGAAGGTGTGAAAGATTTGCAAGCAACGATTACAGGGTGATTTCAAGTTTTTTACCTTTTTCCTGTCCTAGTATTTATTTTACCAAAACAGGAAACTTGACATAGTGCTCAAGAAATTAGTACGAAGGGAAACTAGTACGAAGGGATAAGGTGCAGCAGAGAACCAATGGACCAAGAGAAATCTAGCCCTTTATTTTATTATTTTGCACTGAATTTAAAAAGAAAAATAATTGCGGGCAAGCACAGGGAGTTGAAATAACAACAAATTGATTGAGCAAATGATTATCTTGTGGATGGAAATGGCATAACGAGCACATGAACGTGCTCAGCTATAATTGTGTACCGTGAAGCTGACAGAAATGCTCAAAATTCAGCATTCGGTAAAAGTAGCTAACGCAGCGAAATTGCAAATGAGAAGAAGAAGTAAGATATTCGATGGTAAATACAGACAAGAAGAAGCAGCAAACAATTCCCAGAGATGAACAGCAGTGTCCACTGTCCCATTTCAGACTGCACCAAATATCCCGTACATATATATATTTATTCAGATAAAAAGAGCAAACTCCGGATAAGATAGCAAAAAACTCTTGCAGCATCTCCATACATATGCAATAAGGTTAAAACAAACCAAGCTGAAAATTCTCCATATCGCAATAAGGTTAAAACAAAGCTAGAGCTCGAAATTCTCCCAGCATCTGCCCTGCAGCACCTCGCATAACCGAGAATTCAGCCCACACAAACAAGCACACAGTCACACACACACATGACAACGCAAAGAATTACACCAGGATGCTCAAGAATTTTACCAATGGCAAGCAAGGAAGTGACCTCGCTGCCCTCTGTATTATCTGTTCAAGCAAAGTGGTTCGTCGTCAGGACAGCGGCGGTAAGGCACGAGAGTTTCCCAATGAAGTAGAGCTGGATAGATAGGTAGAGCTAGCTAGCTTGCAGTGGACATTGGTTGGGATAAGAGCCGAGCAGGGAGGAGGAGCTCAGCAGAAGGGCGTGTGTGTGTGGGTAGAGCAGAGAAGAGCAGAGCGGAGCGGGGGCGGGGGCGAGAGAGCGAGGCGAGAGCGCGAGGGAAGGGAGGGAGGGAAAGATAACGAGAGGCGGGTGGTTGATAAGGGTGGAATGGTGGAGATTTCAGATAGGGTGTCCTTCGCTTGGCAGCTTCTGCCTTGCCTGCACTTCCTGCGGGCCGGATTTGGGCCCCAAACTCCATTTGGTTCGTACGAGCAACGCAGGAAGGCAGCCCATCCATCCCTGAACCGGAGGGGGACGAAGGTAAGGACCCCTCCGCCGCGGCGCCGCGCCTCTGACTCAGGTGAGGCGCGGCTGGAGCCTGGAAGTTTTATAAAGAAAGCTTCCAAATCTAACTACAGTATAATTATAATATAATTTTACTGTAACTATACTATAACTTATATATAAGTATTAGAATAACTAGCAAGGTAGCCCGTGTGAATGCACGGGCATACATCTTAATTAAGTTGCGTTAGAAACTATAAAAAAATATATCAACTGGATTATTCGTGCTGCCGTTGAAAAGTATGATTGCCAAAAACATTGGGGACTACATGTACATTTGTCGACAAATTTTCTACTAAAAGTTTGACAGATGTAATTATAGTACAATCGTAGTGTAATTACACTGTAACTTGTATGTAATTATACTATAACTTGCATGTAACTACAATGTAACTTGTATTTAAGTTTCACGTAATTTTGAATCGTTAGATCTATTACAAGATTTGTTCTGGTGAGGAAGAAAAAAATCACAGCACACACATATGTGAAAGGATTTGTACCAACGACCTCTATTTTACTTAAATAACATGTTACCGAGAGATTCTTGAAAGTTACATACAAGTTACATTATAGTTACAGTGTAATTACATACAAGTTACAGTGTAATTACACTACGATTGTACTGTAATTACATCTGACATTGTCGACAAATATATAGCAAATTCAAAAACATTGTTCAGCGGTATTGCTTAAATATTTTTTTACAAACTATTTGTTGTCTTTATATTATATAATATTTAATTTACCCCATTAATTTGCTTAATCAGTTTTAAAGAAGATTGGTTTAGTCTGTTTCACAAATAAAGTGGAAACTAAAAGTAAGGTGGTTTCCTTTTTAGAATTGATTGTATATAGGCTCTATTTATTAAAAAAATCTTTAAAAATATTATTGTTTAATAGACGTGTCATTTTGTACAATCATCGCCCTCTAATTGGTTCGTGTATATTTACATGTAATCATCTGAGCACTCAAAAATTATGTAATGGTAGTGTATATTTACATGTAATCATCTGAGCACTCAAAAATTATGTAATGGTTATGGTAATGGGTGTTCTAGTTAAGTGAAAGCAAATAACTTTTTTTTCTAAGAATTTTCTAAGTTTTTCTATAATTAGTTCACTTTGCTCCCTATTGTATTTTATATTTTCTTTATACAATCTTATTTTAAGTTCAGATTTTGTGAGATGACAAAATAGTGACAGCGCATTACACCTTATATGTCAACCATTTTCGAAAAAAAATGAATCGATTCTTGTATAAACATCTAAGACTAAAGTATGTTCTCATTATTTATTAATTGATGGATTGGGATGATTCGAGACTATGTTAAATACACATACTTGTAGAGTCCAATTCTATTGCACAGTGTAGGAGACAACCTATATAGGATTAATTTTTGCAAGTATGCGAAGCTTCACAAAGCCTAGGAAGAATACTATTGGATGGTCAAATGTAACTACGAAGGCATCATTATTTTTTGGAATAATTAATATTAGGAATTATGTACTCGAAGCCTGCCTCTCTACAAATAATTTGTTTAGCTAGACTGCACTCGGCATGAATTAAGTACACTGAGATTATATAATCATACAAATAATGCTTATAATGTCTATCCACTTGCCACAATTATCATTGTTTTCGTGCTATTTTATTTAGATTAGAAACCATAGTTTATGATAATATTTTAAAATAAATAGCTAATTTTTATCAGCTTTCGGTATTGGATTATTTATAACTAATTTACAGTTAAAGACCCATATGAACTATATTCCAACTTCTAAATGAAATATGTTATTTTGAATTATATTATGATATTATAATATTATATAGAAATATATGGAAAAAAACAATGATATAGATTTTACCAGCTGAAAATATTTTTGGTGATTTTTCTTCACATCTATGTATCATGTAGGTGTATCACGGTTGGGAATCTTAACCTCACACGAATTAAAATTTAGATTAGATCAAGTTGAAAAAATAACACAACAAAATTGCATTGTTTGCATTTTTACATATGAAGATTCAAATTAGTGTTGTATATTTGTTAAGTAATATTTGAAACCACAAAATATGATGTGATTTTTTAGAAGTTGTTATGGAATTAATAATTACTACCTCCGTTTCAGGTTATAAGACTTTATAGCATTGTCCACATTCATATAGATGTTAATGAATCTAGGCACACATATATATCTAGGTTCATTAACATATATATGAATGTGGGCAATGCTAGAAAGTCTCATAATATGAAACGGAGGAAGTACATGTTAAATGTCATCTGCCACATTGTATTTTGCACTAAAATATAGCCAACGTAATTCATTAATGTAAAATAACAATAAAATAAGTGATAATTTTGTATTTTATTTTAGTCAAACGAATAATAAAACATAGGATCAAAAGTCAATAGCGTAAAAATTGGAGGTAATATAAATATATTGTGGCGGTATATCAAGTAAAAAAATAAAAAAAGGGGTGAATGAGGGAGGAAAAAGAGGAATCAGGTATGTACCTACATGCGACATACATGCACACGTGAGGGAGGGATTAATTATGTTTTTAATCTAATCTAATTGTCTAAAATAATGGACCCACAAATTTAAATGAAAATCAAGGGTTAGATATTTCTAATGTATTAGAACGCCACATGGCGGTTCAGGAGCGTTTATAGGAACGCCACATGGCGATATGGTCACACGTGAGGGAGGGATTAATTATGTTTTTAATCTAATCTGATCTAATGGTCTAAAATAATGGACCCACAAATTTAAATGAAAATAAGGGTTAGATGTTTCTAATGTATTAGAACGACACGTGACGGTTTAGGAGCGTTTATAGAAACGCCACATGGCGATATGAGAGCGTTTATAGAAAGTTTAATGGACTTTTAGTATATAATAGATATATGCAACTTTATATCTTAATTATATAGAGATTAACTAGTAGTTGCAGTGCGGTACAATATAATTATAGTGTAATTACATTGAAGTTACACTACAACTATACTATAGTTATATTTGAAAGCTTTTTGCCCAAAAATTTTGTGGCAGTTTTTTAGCAATTCCAAAATAAATTAGTAAAATTATGAAACATTTTTTTCTTAATTTCCGTCATTTTTTTTCTTCTTATGTTCTCTACAGTCTACCATCTCCTATTCCATGAAGATAATAAATTATTTTTAACCCTCCCTTCTCTTATATATCGTGTATTAAAACAATTACAATGTCTTTGTCGTACTACTAAAACTTATAATTTAATTGCCATAAACTTATCGCAAACTTCGCGGCATATAATTTTAATTACAGTGTATGTTTTGAAATTAATAGTGTAAAAATAATTCAATTATTTTTAGAAAAAAATGGCGCGGCAAATATGGGTCTATTTAGTTCCAAAAACATCACATCGAATATTTGGACACATATATATAGAGCATTGTTTTCTAAATATATATATAAACCTAAGGGGAACCGCAATGCATGTTACCTAACTAGGCAATGAGTAGATGGGCTAAGGTAGTAGGTCTTTATAACGTGGGTCCCATGAGAAAAAAGTTACATTTTCAATTGTTTTTTTTTGTCTAACTTTGCATGAAGTACAAGCAAATCCTTGTGTTGAAGAGAGAGATTTTAATGTTTTTAATTCTTCAACCTGGTCATAAGTTTACTACATGGTATTTATTACTCCCGCCGTTTCAGGTTACAAGATGTTTTGACTTTGGTCAAAGTCAAATTGTTTTAAGTTTAACTAAGTTTATAGACAAATATAATAATATTTATAATACCAAATTAGTTTCATAAATCAATAATTAAATATATTTTCATAATAAATTTATCTTGGGATGAAAATGTTACTATTTTTTTTACAAACTTTATCAAACTTAATGCAGTTTGACTTTGACCAAAGTCAAAACATCTTACAACCTGAAAACGGAGGGAGTACTATCCACTTTCACAATGTTTATTACTACGACATAAGAATACTTTAATATATATTACCTGCTTTTTCATTATATTGTGGATGCCCTAAGAGGGAAGAGACGACTTTACTTATATTCATGGGTGTACTAATTCTTTTGCTAGAATAGTTTTGTGAGTACAAAACCGCTACAAATAAGGCTTTCATGTCCAATTGCCCCACGCTAGTGGATTGGGCAGATTTGTACGGGAAGAACCAAGACTGATAACAATTATTAGTGCTAGTTTCATATAAAACCGATACTAATAACAATTATTAGTACCTTTTAGATGAATTGACAAAAAGCTCGGGGGTCACAATGTCTGGCCTCCTCAAGCTCGGTGGTAGTAAATATGTTGTTGCCTTCGCCGAGGTTATACGAGAGGTAGCGGTGGCAAAGTCAGATTCATTCATATCCCTTCATGGCACCATCAGGAGTTACCAAATTAGTTGATGACTCCCAGACAGGGTTCCCCTTAACGTTTTTGACGCGGTTACCGCACCTCCACGGTAAGGCGGTTACCGTGAAAACCACGCGGTAACCGCGAGACATACCGTGGTTTCAAAAACTGGAAAGGTTACCGCGCGTGGTAACCGCACGGTTTTGTAAACCTTGCTCCCAGGTACCTTGTCGTGTTCCTCTTCCTTCGCCTTATCACGACCATCGACCCTGGGAACGACGAGAAGAAAAGTACACGGAGAAGTTCATCAGATCAGATCTATGATGTGATTCAGTTCAGCTAGTTGGATTTGGATTGGGTAATCCTAATGGGTGGGTGATCGCTCCCTCCCCTCCCAAGCGATCACCCACCCCTCCCCCTTACTACTTTACCT